TCACAATATCCATAGGATCTCTAAAAGTAGTGGCTGCAATATCTCGTGGCAGCCGGATGGCCAATTGGTTTGCGCTCTGGCCCTTGGTAGCACAGGCTTCAGGTTCAAATTCTGGCACGGTGGAACGTTCCGGAATTCAGAATGGTGGCATGGATGGTTGATAGTAGTTAGGAAAGCTCTAGCCAATCAAAGATGGGTCAACTATTAATTAAGACTAATAAGTGTTTCTTAAAACTGGAACATAATACAATATGTACAAACGTATTAGTCTTGCACTACTATATGAAATTTGGGCAACTTTTACAGACAAATAATGTTACTTTATGTAATATTACAAATCGGAAATGTTTGGTTTTCAACAATCGCAACTTCAAAGATTAAGTTAATAATTTCTCATCGAGATCGAATTACTTTCATAAAATCGTCTCGAAATCCGATAAATCATCTCGATTAGGGTGTTTCCTGAATTCACTTATTTGGAGCACGTACTTTTCGACCGGATGCATCAAGGTTCGATCGCAAAAAGCAAACAACCAACAAAGGATCTTAATCTCAAATGATGAAATCTTAGCGGAAATCATTTGCTGTTCTTTTGAAAAGTTATAACTGCATATTTGCCCTTAATTTGTGCGAAACGTTACAAAATTCACAAGTAGGTGATTCAAAAAAGAAATAAAATAAAAGCTTAGAAAGCGAACTTATTTGACTAATTCAAAATATTTTTTAAAAAGACGGAATACTTTCGTTTTAATTAAAACGGTTTTTGCTATTGTTCTATGCGTGTGGTATTTTCAAATTGATTGCACGTTATTAAAAGTTTTCTGTTTAAATAAAGAAAAAGAGAATGTTTGCGAAAAATTTGAAAGAAAAACTTGCATATCTGTTTGTACCGTGAGAACGATTCGTTCTTTTTTCTTTTTTAAAGATTTTAAAAATATTTCTTTAAAGTGCATTAGGTACGATTGAGTAATGCGGGTTTAATTATACTCCAATGCAATGTTGGGCGTGCGATTTTACCGATCGGGATGTTCGACAATGAAATAATTGCATTAATTTCTTTTGGTGTTTTTTTTTTCTATTGAAGATTCAGAAAATTGCTGTGAGGTCTGAAAATGTTTTTAACCTGTTGTGTAAAAGAAAGACAAATATTTCCTAATGAAGTGAAGTAGTTTTTATTTTTTATTTTAACTCCAAAGCTAATTTTTTTTTCTTGATCACGTAATATATAATCGATAAGTTCTCATAGGTACAAATATTTTTGGGTGTATAGCTTTACATTTATTTAAGGTATATATACTTAATTTCAATCTAAAAAAATCTTATAATAAATTTTAAATTATTTTATTTATACCTAATAATTGTAATTCTTCTTCATTTGCTCAACAGTCCCTTGGTGGGCCAAGGCCGTCTGCCTAATGGCAGATTTCAAAATATAAGATGTTTTTTTTTTATTGGGTAGGATTGTCATTCCTACGCCCAACGTTCCACAGTCACATTATACCGGGACCTACGGTTTAAGGCGGATTCGATTTCAAACCATTACAAGCATCCATGGTACCGTAAGGAATTGAACCTGAAACTTGTGACACCAAGGGTGGGAGCGCTAGTCACAACAATTATAGTTATTAAATATATAATTAATAATAATTAACCATGTTTAATAATTATATCTTACTAGAGGCAGGGGAGGATTAGTGTTTGCAAATTAATGCATAAAATAATGCATAAATTAATGCAGAAAAGAATGAAGGTTCGATTCCAGTAGGTGGTTCTACATTATGATCGGCTCGACTCGTGGCTGGTGAGGATTAGGGCTGAGGTTCAATCCGCTGGCGGCCTTTTTTGTAGACACTGTTTCAAAAAACGTGCAGCCTCGATGGCGTTTGTGATGTTCAGCATTTTGACTCTTGAGTTGGACTACCATGTGGGAGTTTTCAGGGTTTTCTCCCATATGAGGCGCAAATGCCAGATAGTTCCACCTAAAAGTTCTCCTGGAAGGTACGCCCTCCTTCTTCAGCTCACGGAGTCAAGTCACGTATCTTATCAAGTCTACCTACGGGTGCTTCATCACAACAGAAGCTGCCTCCCCCCCTTCCCTCCTTCCATGAGAGCACACGAGTTCATGGACTTGGTTTAGATGTTGCTATCAACCAAGTGGCATAAAAAACAACATTATGATCTCAGCTTAGAACTTTTGAAAAAATTTTGAAAGCTTTTCATTTTCGTTTTTTTTTTTCTCCCTTAAATGATAGGGGTTTTTTTCCACCCCTTTTCCCTTTAGTGCTGGAGGCCTACTATGGTATATTGGTAAGGTATATAAATGACTACCATGATATATGACTATTAAGGTATAAGGTATATTATTACTTTGGTATGTATATATAACATGTAACATGTTAACGTTATGTTGTCCTATTTATAGTCAGTTATTTGGTAGTCCAATGTCCGGCATTAGTAAAAAGAAACTATTATTTACTTATTTATAAGTTACTTATTACTTATTTATAAACGTATACTTATTTAATAATTTCATCCACATTCTTCAATAACTTGCTACATAAATCGAGATTTTATTAAAATTAATGAGGATTTGAATTTTCAGAAAAAATAAGGTCGCTAAATAAAAAAAAAATTCTTTATAAAAATTTTATTGAAAAAATATTTAGGATAATGAATAAAAAGCTGAACTCTCAGATTACAAATACTGAAGAAGGAAAAAAAGTGAAGAGAGACTGAATAGCTTATTTTTTTCTGCAAACACACCACCGAAACCAAACAAATTTTGTTCTGAAGCAAATCAGACCATAAAATAACAAATAGACTCTACGTATTATAAAAAAAACGAATAAAAAAACTTATCTAAGCTTAAAAAAAAAATTTTTTTTTTTCCTTTTTTATGCAAAGGCAATCATGAATGTAAAGATAAAGGGAAAAAACTTGGACTCTATTGTTATACGGTGATCAAAAGACTTTATTGAGGGTGTGATGTTGGGCTTTCGAATTCACTTTTCGTTCTAAAACCGCTCTATTTGAAATCCAGAAATTTGCGAGAAAAACGATTTTTCTTTCCTTCTGTTTTAAAACTAAGAATAAAGATAAGAAAAAAAAATGAACTACTTAATGCTTAAAAGACTAATTGTACAAATAAAAAGGTTTACTTCCTCAAGTAAGTTTACATTCTCTACTATATAGTTCAGAAATTAAAGCCCTAAGGGAAAATTTCAAAGGAATGTGTTTTTTTAGCTTGTGATTTTAATGAATAAGAATGAAAAAACTTTTTGATAACCTAGTAAACATTGTTGCCTACATACATTAAAAGATAAATATTTCTTAAATCTTTAAATTAATCTTAAAATTTGGGAAAATTAGTTTGTTTTATAATAGTTATTGATAATATGAAAGCATTTTTAAACCATATAAATTCAGTAGTTTCATGGATTCATAAACTTTGCTTGATCAAATTTTTAAATTGAATTAATTACGGAAGCATGTTTAGAACTTGAATCCACATTAAACCGTCGGTCCCTGTCTAATATGACTGTAGAATGTTTGGCGTAGGGTTGACAATTCTACCCCGTAAAGAGAAAACATCTCCTGTTTCTGAATTTGCAAGTAGTCAGAAGGCCTTATCCACACCGTGGGGCTGTTGTGTCAATGAAGAAAAAGGAGATAGAGAATTTGAATGTATAAAGAACTTTAACATGCATTATAAACTTGAACATACATTAGAACATGTATGAAGAACTTGAACATGTATTATAAATTTTAATTGAATTTGACAAGGTTCTTAATTTAAATTATTCATTAACGGAAAATAATGTTTATCATAAATTTCATGTATACTTTTCATCAGAGAAAATATTTATTTAATAAAGAAGTCATTCATATGGTAAAAATTTGGCTTATGTTACTGAATAGTTTTTAATTATAGAAATAATTATTTAAATAAGTTAAATTAACGTGTTTGATTAATTAATTTTTAATTATTTTTTTAATAAATTTTTTATTAATTAATTTTTTTGTACACTTTAAGCAAAATGTAACATATATATTTTTAATTTGTTAAATTTCTACAAACCTTTATGCAAGTTTTAAGAATATATTATCAGAAATTAAATGATAAACAACTTTTTTTATCTTTAAAAACATCCATTCAACCAAAATAAATTAACACTAAAGACATACATTTAAAATAGGCAATATAAAATATTATCCCGATTGTAAAAAAAATAAATAAATAAAAATAACGGAAAGCTATATTGAATTTGCAGTATATAATATATATATGACAGGATGCTTGCCACTTCCAAAATCACGACAACCCCACTCTGACGTGACCGCCACATAATTTTCAGAGTCATTTTTTCGGTTATTGTATTCCATTACAATGCATGAAACTATGCGCAGAAAGAAAAGGTCAAGAACGCGCAGCAGATGGGACACGAAAGTGGTTACAAAGGAATGGTCGCAGATGGCAATCAAGCCAGATGGGGTTATTCCTGAATTGTTTCAATGAGGCAATGTGTAATGGCTCGTTTTGCTGAAACACTGGGTTGTAGGAGGGCAGAACGGAAGGATTTTTTGAATGCGTTTTTGGATGGCTTACGAATTATAACTCTGGATTCGTAGTTTTCTGGATTCGTAACTCAGTGTAGTTTTCTATGAGGATGATATATATGTTTCTTGTTGCTGTTGTTTCTTATCCCACTTGGCTGGCCACGCCCACGAGCCCCATACGTACTCATGATTGAAGGGGAAGGAAGCAGCTTCTGTTGTGATGGAGCACCCGTAGCTAGAAGTCTGACTTTGGCTCCGTGACGCTCTTACAGTCATAGGAGACTCATTACAGTCATTACAGTCATAGTCATAGGACCTACGGTTTAAAGTGGATTCCGAACCACTACAAACATCCATGGCACCGCCGGGATTCGAACCCGAAACCTGTGCCACCGAGCGCCAGAGCGCTAGACACTCGGCCCCATTCAGGTCCCAAATTTGCCAACGGCACGCGGTGTTCCCAGGTGGTCACCTCCCCAAGTACTGACCGCGCCCAATGATGCTTGACTTCGGTGATCTAACGAGAACCGGTATATTCAGCATGGTACGGCCGTTGGATTGATATATATGTATATAGATATATATATACACTCAAGAGCCAAAACATTTTGACCACCCCTACATTTTGCAATGAACTCGCCTGGATGACGTGGAAGGCACCTGATCAGCTGGAAGTGGTATTTAACTGGTATTAAGTGGTGGTATTAATCCATGCCAAGGCGGGTTGAAGCTGTATTGCGCACCAAAGGTGGGCCAACTCGTAATTGACAGGGGGCCATAATGTTTTGGCTCTTGAGTGTATATATACTGTTGCAATATTATCATATTTGTATATATTATATACCCAAAACATGGATACAAAAACACATAAAAGAAGAATTAGAGTTAGATGCATTAGTGATAATAGATCCGAAGATTCTTTATTAGATTTATTATTTCTGTGAAAAGATTGTATTGCATACAAATAAATGAACCATTGGATATATGTAGCACATTTAGATAAACAGATATACTGTTGCAATATTATGTATAAAAGTAAAACTTATTTTTTTATAAATGTGTGTATATTTTAAAAATTTCACAATATGTTTCAATGTCTCTAGTCAAATTTCAAAATATCATTAACAAAACGTCAATCAGTGCATTAAAAAGTCGTCTAAGAATTTAAGTGCTCAAAATTATTTGAGGGGAAAAAAACTCGGTACAACAAGATAGTTTTCAAAAAAATGGTAAATATACAAAATCCTAAATATGGATCCTTGTATACGATGTATACAAAGATATATTAAATATATTATTGTATACATCGTATACAATAATATATTTATATATATATATAATATAATATAAAATAATATAAGGCATCGCCACTCCGCATGAGATCCTAGAAATGAATTATTAAAAATATTACTAAATACATTGCAGTAAAATCCAATGTTTCTATTATTCTTCAATGAAATTAAATATTTATTCAATTAATGAATTATTTCCTTTATTGGCTAGTAATAAAGATAATTAATTATCATTATTAAAAAAGAATTCACGAGTTTTATAACTATTTAATTATTATTATTTATTTTTTCACTTGCATAAAGCAAATGTTATATTTATAGGAATATTAGTTTAAATACAATTTTTAAAAAAAAGCTTCTAAAATCTTGGAAAAATTCTGATGATAATTTTGAATACCGTTATTTTCAAAATACAAATAGTAATCCTAAATCAGATATTTTGAGATAAAATCACAATGAAACATTTAAATAATAAAAATAAATCATATATTTATTAATGTTGTAATTATAATATAATATAAATAATATATATTATGTTTATTTATATTTAAATAATATAAATAAACAGGAAATGTTCCGAAAGACCGTTTACTACAGGATTTTTTTTCAAATTTATTTCATTCATTTTACAATTCGAAGAAGTATTCTGGCAAAAAAAAAAAAAAAAAAAAAAAAAAAAAAAAAAAAATTTTTTTTTTTTTTTTGATGTTCAAAACAGGAAAAAAATCTTCAAAAAAATCAAAATTGGAATCCAAACCTGCAATGGCAGGTAAAGAATAAGAATCAAAACAAAAGGAAAAGTTCCTACTCAAATTTCGGAGGAAGTGTTATAATGCGGCGTACTCAACAGCAATCAAGGGGAGGATTACCGACGCATGACATAACGGAACAGAAACATCCTCCTAGTGCTAACATTACCTTTTTTTTTATATTATATATAATGATGCGCCTGTTTGCTTCTTCCTCGACTCGGAACGAAACGGTTTTGGCAGAGACACCAAATGGCAAAATTGGCCGCTTTCCGCATGCCCAAGCCACAAATGGTCGCCTCGTCAGAAAGTTTAGTCCAAAGAGATAATGGTGCCTTTTCTTCCTTTGTTGGCTCACCAAAGAAAATGCCAACTTCCATGTTATGGTATGATAAGTGAAACGTTTAACAAAAATAAGTACACTTTTTTCTTTCTTGAGAAGTGAATATCAATACGCATTCAACACATTCTTTCTAAACAATTCCTCAAAATGTCTTTTTTTTTATATATAATTTTTTTACTTTTATCTAAATAATTTAATTACTGTTTATTTTACCTTTATTATTATCACAAAGTCGAAAGTTTAAAAAAAAATCACATAAGGAAGTATTAAGTCGTTAGCATTTACTGGTTTGATTTTTATATAGTTGGTAAAATTTAAGATGTTTAAAGGGTAATGGCATGTTTATTTATTTACTTTTGGGGGTTTTATTTGTTACTATTGAGAAAAAGGATAAAAAAATTATGTATTGATATCTCGAATAGCGATGCTGTCATTCTATATGAATAATTTTAATATTTTACAATTTTTTTTTATTTTACATTTTTTTAATTTTATTTAACACTATTAATACTAGTACTTACTTATTATTATGTTACTTACTATTTCTTAGATATAGTAAGAAATTACGAAAATTGAACGTAGAATATCGGCTTTTCAATTATTCTATTAACCACTTTTTTATTTAACAATTTTTTACAATTTTTTAAATTTACAATTTTTTTCCCCGTACAAATTGATCGCAAATATTTGGTTTGTATTTCAGTGGTACAGTGAAATAATTAAATCCAAACCGAATCGGAAAGAAACGGTTTTGGCAGAAACACCAAATGGCAAAAGTGGCCGCTTTCCGCATGCCCAAGCCACAAATGGTCGCCTCGTCAGAAAGTTTAGTCCAAAGAGATAATGGTGTCTTTTCTTTCTTTGTTGGCTCACCAAAGAAAATGCCAACTTCCATGTTATGGTATGATAAGTGAAACGTTTAACAAAATAAGTACACTTTTTTCTTTCTTGAGAAGTGAATATCAATACACATTCAACACATTCTTTCTAAACTATTCCTTAAGATATCTGTTTTTTTTACCTTTAACTAAATAATTTAATTATTTATTACTGTTGATTGTTTATTTTAGCTTTGCTATAACAAAGCCGAAAGTTAAAAAAAATAAAGTTGCATATAAGGAAGTATCAAATCGTTAGATTTTTATGTTGTTGGTAAAATTTTTTAAGATGTTTAAATGGTAATGGCATGTTTCTTTATTAACTTTTAATTTTTTTTTTTTTTTACAATTGAGAAAAAGGATAAAAATGTTGTGTATTATAAACTCGGAATAGCGATGCTGTCATTCTATATAAGTAATTTTATTACCTTCCAAAAATTGTAATTTTACAATGTTTTAATTTTACAATTTTACAATGTTTTAATTTTACAATTTTACAATTGTATTTAATAATAGTAATTACTATTACTTACTTATATTATAGTATTACTATTATTATTACTTACTTATTACTGTATTACTTACTATTTCTTATTGTAAGAAATTACGAAAATTGATCGAAGAGTATCAATTTTTTAATTATTCAATAAAATAATAAAGTTATATAAATATAGTTAATAAACTATATTTTTTATTTTATAATTTTAAAATTTTTTCCCGCACAAATTGATCGCAGGTATTTGGTTTGTGTTTCAGTGGCATAGTGGAATAATGAAATCCAGGTTTTAGCAATGTACTCAAATATAATATATCACGCTACTCTTCTTGCACACAATAAACTTTCAGGTATTTCTTAACAATAGTAAGAAATCCCTAAAATTGAACGCATAAAGATGTGTATCGGTTTTTTAATTATTCTATTAACTCCTATACCACTAATTTTATTAATTATTCCGCTGAGAAAAAGTAGTTTTGATTACTATATTTTGGTGACCATTTTAACTACAGCAGACATACGTTTTACCAAAAATGACTATGTAGCTAAATCTAGCTTTTCCACAAATGAAATTAGTCCATAATAACATAAAAAATAATCAATGATCTTTTCGTTCCTCTTAATAACATATAAACATCAAATACATTTAATGATAAGTAAAATTCCTAATGACAAAATAAATGAGAGCTTTCACCAACCTGCAGATTCAAAGGAACCCAGTGCTCCATTTCTTTGGTGTGATGAAGATTCGTGAGCCAGCAACAAATTGTACGAAGCCAAATGTAGTTCTTGCCCTGCTTCTATGTCTTGGATAACTTCCAAGTATATCTAAGAAAAAATAAATTTATAATATGATTAGTTATGCTTGATTACATTTAAATAGGAAGAATAATAAAATATCTAAATTCAAATTAAACAATAAAAAATCTATTGCACTAATTTGCAATTATAAAACAGCTAACGCGTTGCACATTATCACCCAATTATTACATTATCATTTTCACACATTATCACCCAATTATTGCATTATCATTTTCACACATTATCATCCAATTATTATATTATCATTTTCACACATTATCATCCAATTATTACTTATTATCACTTTCACACATTATCACCCAAATTTTGTCAATATTTTTACATAGTTTTAAAGGAAATAATTTATCATTATATATTTAAAACGATATTTTAGACCGACTCATGACTCAGTGGCAACGCGCGCCACTGGTGAGTATTAGGGCGGAGGTTCAAATCCACTGGCGGCTTTGTTGTAGATACTGTTTCAAAAAACGAGGAGGCTCAATGGAGTTTGTGATATTCAGTATCTTGCCTCGATATTCAGATTCCGTAGTGGGAGTTTCCGGTTCATTCTCCCATACGAAAGCAAAGGCGGGGTAGTTTCCCCTAAAAGTCCTCCCGGAAGGCACTGCGCTCCTCCTTCAGCGACTCGGAGCCAAGTCAGACTTTTACCAAAGGGTGCCCCATCACAACAGAAGCTGCCTTCCTCCCTACTTTCTTTCCATGAGGCAACACGGGTTCTTAGATTTTTTCTAGTAAATGTTGCAGTCTACCAAGTGGGATAAGAAACCACAACAAACGTTATTTTTTATCTACATGCAAATTAAAATTAAAATTCTTCTGTCTTTAATATATTTTTAAGGCACGTCGGTAAAACCATTGTCAAGATCATTTGTGTGTCTCATATTAAGCATTATACATAAATTGTAACTAAATTTTAAATTCAATAAATTTTCCATTTAATAATTTAACTATTTGGGGCCTGAATGGCCGAGT